ATATATGAAATATAAATGAATATAATTAATTCTTGAAGCATAGGCAAAATACTTTTAACAACAGTATTTTGGTTATGGTTAGATGACAGGGTTATGGCCGATCTGTATATAAGAAAGCACTTTTATTTCTATAATATTTGAGTGTTGTTTACAATGAGACTATTATATACTTATAGTAAAAAATAATAGCAATAAAATACTTTCCTTTTTGAAAATAAAAATATATGAAAAATAGTGTATCTTCTACTACAAATACAGAAAAAAGTGTACAGGATTCAAAATAGGTTATATCTATTGTTTCTTCCTTGTCTAGTTTCTCATAAATTATTCATGGAATCTTATCTATACTAATAATTATTTTTGTTCATTATTTTTTTGCATTTCTTTTCAGAAAGTGACAGGTATTATGTTCTGCAGTCATTTTTATTTTAGAATATTCCTTATAATTGCTATTTTCTTAAGCCATGTTTATATGATTAAAAAAATCATATAAATAAAAACCATTACATTGAGTAAAATTATAGGATTTCTACATAAACCATTAATTTTAGCATAAAGCTCAGCTGATCAATTTGGACTGACCAATGACTTTAGGATTATTTTTAAAGTTAAAATCAAGAAAATTTAAAAATCAACAGTTTCCCTCAATTATTTAAAGGAAAAAGACAATTAGAAAATAGTCTTCGCTCTTCCGGTCCCAGGGGTTTGTGAGCTGTGGGCTTGGGTGCAGACATGGCCAAGTCCAAGAACCACGCCACGCACAACCAGTCCCGAAAATGGCACAGAAACAGCATCAAGAAACCCCGATCACAAAGATCCGAATCTCTTAAGGGGGTGGACCCCAAGTTCTTGCAGAACATGCGCTTTGCCAAGAAGCACAACAAGAAGGGGCTGAAGAAGATGCAAGCCAACAAGGCCAAGGCCGTGAGTACATGGGCTGAGGCCATCAAGGCCCTAGAAAAGCCCAAGGAGGTCAAGCCCAAGATCCCAAAGGGCGGCAGCCGCAAGCTCAGTCGACTTGCCTTCATCGCCCAACCCAAGCTTGGGAAACGTGCCCGAGCCCGCATTGCCAAGGGTCTCAGGCTCTGCCGGCCAAAGTCCAAGGTCAAGGCTCAAACCAAGGCCTCAGGCTCCAGCTCCAAAGGTGCTCAGGCTCCCACGAAGGCTCCAGAGTAGAGGCCTCTGTCTGCCGATGTGAGGATGGAAGGACTGGTGTGACCCCTGGGCTGCTGTCTGCATGGGGCTGGTGTCCTCCTGAGCTATTTGTGCAAATAAAGCTGAGGCAGGATTAAAAAAAAAAAGTCTTCAATAAGACAAATTTTAATTTTACAAACATAGCAATTATGCAACATGTATATTTATAATATTATATACCTATATTTTTGTACATAAATCTACAGATATAGATACATAATTTACATATATTTATAAATATATAAATACATGGGTAAACTAATAAACTACAGAGCTTGTGTAGCACCCATCTGAAGAAAATTACAAAACTTGACTGAGAAATATAAAAATTTTTGAAAAGTGTTCCTATATAGAAAATGACAATATTTTAAAGATGTCTCAATTCATTTATAAATTTAATGTAATTCTGTTTTGAATTACAGGTGAATATTAAAATCCAAACTGCCTAAAAACACTGCTTTATAGTAAAAAGCAAAATTTCCTCTTCCCCACAATGTCCCATTCCCACTCTCCAAAGGTAACCATTGTTAACAATTTTTTTATCTATTCTTCCAGAAATTTTGTATGTATCTATAAGGCACATACTCACATACACATGGGCATGCACTCATACTTCTATGCCTTTTCTGACTTATTTTTAATTATAGGAGGGATAATATCATACATATTGTTCAACGATTGGCTGTTTTCACTTAATATATCTTGGGCATTTTTCCATAGCAAAACATATGTTCTCAAGTGAATATTTTTAACTTACTAAAGTAATTCTGAAGTATATAAAGAATAAATAGGAAAAAAATGACAAAGAAAACTTTGGGAAGAAAAAGACTACTGAAGAGGGACTTGCAATACCAGATGTAAGATTATATAATTAAAACATCGTGATAATGGTGGGAGAACAGAGAAATCAGTGGAGCAGAAATTAATCTCAGGAGTGGATGCTGGAATATAAAAGCTTTTTGCCTGATTCAAAGTATTTTTAAATCAGTAGGAAAGAAGTATATTATTCACTAACTATTCAGGGACAATAGCTTAATCACTGGAAAAATGATCATATCCTCATTTCACATGATAAACCAAAATATATTGCAGATTAATTAAAGCATTAAATGCACAAAATATGTACATATGTAGGAGAAAATATAAGTGAATATCTAATCTTTGTGAGAAATGTTTTCTAAGTGTAAGCAAGGATAGAAATTTTAATGAAAACATTTGAGAAATAGATAATTTAAAAATGAAAAAGTCAATAACAAAATATGATATTAGCTTGGAAAACTACTTGTAAAATGTATGGCAGAGTGTTACTATCCTTATTATATGAAGAACTCTCATAAATTAATTAAAAAACACCAAAGATCTCAATAGAAAAAAATGGATGATGTGTAGAAAAAAGCAAGCCATAATGAAACAATATAAATAGCAAATAAATGTATGAAATACATTAAAATTTTCAAGTAACCAAAGTAACAAAAACTAGAACAAATTTTTTTCAAACATCAAATTAGAGAAGCTTAAAAACATTTAGTGTTGGTGAAGATATGGATAAATGGACACTCATTCACTTCTATTTTAGAAGACACTTTGGCCTTATGTTCAAAATTTGTAAAAAAAACAAACCACAAACAAACAAACAAACAAAACCTTCTTGATACTGAAATAACCCTTTTATAAATTTATGTGGAGGACATAATTATAGATGTTTGTAAATATTGTCCACAGAGATGTTCGTCATAGCATTGTTTATAATGTAGGAAAATTACAAACCATCAAATACACAGTGTTAGAAAACTTGTTAGATAAACTATGGTGCACTATATAGTAACTAAAACAATTCTGTTGACAAGTATTTTATGACATGGGAAATATTTGTGATATATTTTAAATGAAAAGTGTAGCTCACAATGACAGATGTCATGTAGTCAAATTATTTTTAATATATATTATTGCATAGAAAAATATGCTGTCAGGATATACTCTGAAATATTAACAATGCTTATCTCTAACTGGCTGAGTTATGGGTGGTTTGTATTTTATTATACTATTTCCATAACTTCCACAACAAACACTTAATAGTTTTATAATCAGAATTAATGCTATAAAATAAAATACTTTAAACAAATGTTTATGATGCAGACATTGAAATTTATGTTTTTCCTCAAGTGATGATTGTTTTGGGTTCCTCTGTGCAGTTTAGGCATAATCCCAGGTCAGCTTCTAGGCATTTTATTTAAAAAATAAATCATTAGAATAAAATTATATGTTGATTTTGTAAAAAAGAGCAATCTTTTGCTAGACAAAATCAGAGAGCTAAAATATGATATTTTTATTTATTTATTTATTTTATTTTATTTTTCAAGACTTCCACTGGGGAATCGGGGAAGGGGAACAGACAAGTTGCAGTCCTTTTGTTCTTCAGTCTAGTTGTGGAGGATGTCGCCTCACTGGCCCATGTTGGTATTATCATTGTGCTCTTCCCAGGTGAGGCAGATCAGTTGCCGGCCTCTGGACGGCCGCTCACGGCAGCTTCTGGCAGCTCATACCGGCTGCTGGCCGCTCATGCCAGCTGCCAGCCGCTCACGGTAGCTTATGGCAGCCCACTGCAGCTTCACCACAGCCCACACCATCGCTGGTGACCCACGGCAGTCCAGCTCCAGGTTGAGCTGTCGTTCACCATCTTTAGCTGTAGTGGGCACAGCGCCACTGGCCCCAACGTGGGATCAGAACCCAGGCTCTGCTGCCCAGAGCCGGTGTCCCAAGCCAACTCCTATCCAACGCACCACTTGGCCAGCCCTGATATTTTTATTTTTAAAAAAATGAAACAAATGACTTATAATTTTAAGAATTCAATTATCATTATATGCATTTAAAATTAAATGGCTCCCCCCTCCAAATTATATTATGTAATCCAGTTTCATTTTTGGTTTAATGGGAACATCAAAAAGTATAGTTTTATAAGTTTAACACTCAGAATTAAAATAATTTCTAGGAAAAGTCTTCATTTGTTCTTTCTAGAAAACGCTGACTTGTTGATTTGGTGGCAAACATATGTGTTCATATTATATTGAAAACAAAATAAATGTAATGTTAAGGAAATATTAAAATTTTGAAATGTAAAGCAGTTAGTTAAAACTACCCTTCTTGTTCATATATATATATATATATATATATATATATATTTCTTTAATTTGCTATTTATATTAGTAAAGCAAACTTTGCACAATCCTCAAATAGTTAATATAAAACTTTAAAAGACTCCCAAATAACAAATATTTTATGGGATCTTCTTTTAGAATCTGATTTTAGGCATGACTAACCTGGCTGGCAGTATATAAGCAACAACCTGAATTACATGTAAACAGAAAGGGGTAAATTCCAAGCACATCCTAAAGGAGAAGTGCTACTCATTTTCCGTAACCCAGATGCCTTTTTAACCCATCCATGCATGCTCCATCTAAAACAGGGTACAGTTCCCAAAGGAGAAAACACTGCCCTCCAGTGGTCTTCATTGGAAAAAATGGAAATAATTTCAGGTACCATGATTGCAGCATTTATATAACATTTATCTAATTTCATTTCTAGATATATTTCTTAAGCTGAAACCTATGTCTACAACCAAACATAAGGACAAAACCCCCCAATTAAATTCTAATATATAGGTAGTTACTCCAGTTAAATAGAAATATTAGCTAGGAGAATGCTTATGGCATTCAGACCCAAAAGCTGACCATTTATTTAACTATCACAATTGGACTATGCTAGCCACCTATAGCTTCTCACTTTCCAGATAAGGAAGAAGAGATTTCATCCCTATGTTTCCCTTGTTGGCCAATTTTTTAGCTAAAAGACATTTAAAATTGTACAGCAGGCAGAACCCCAGGGGACTGAACAGTGTTCCAACATCCTTAAAGGCTTCCCATCACTTGAAAAACCAAATTCTCCCTCCTGTTTCTTAAACTAACCAAAGTAGGCAAAAGCAATTTTAAAAAGTCTTTGTGTCTAGCATTGGAACTTTCTCATATTTCACACCATTATATAAATGTCACTCTAACCTATATGTATCACAAATGCTACGCTAAATTAGGGCCAAATTTGCAACCTAGTTTAACTGGGTTTCCTCTTTTTGCAAATGCAGTTTTTGTGTCTGCATTTAGCAATGCATACAAAACTGTCCGTGCAGCTAACTGCTTCAAATTGCTAAAATTGAGGTTGGATGCGTAGATCGCCGGAGTCTTTCTGCATGTGCCAAAGCAATTCTGTTTCTAGTCCTATAAAGATTTCCTAATCAAAGGGACCTCAACTAGACAGCTAAAGTTTTGGACTACTTCATTGACTCTCTTTGATTTGGTAAAGGAAAAACGGCATTTTAAGAAAAAAGACATGGTTTTCTAACCTCCATGCCTTTATCCTTCAGATACCAGAGTGAAATGCCTCACATGGTAAGAGAGCGAACTTTAGAGTTCCACAGCCATAGGGGCTCATCCATTACTAGCTATGTGGCTTAAACTTGGCCTCATTTGCTGTCGGTAAAATAAAGATAATAACGCTGGCCTCAGAAGGTGGTTATTACGATTGAATGAGTGAATACCTGTGAAATATCTATCACAGAGAAAGTCTTAACCAAGAAATGATTATTTTTATTCTATCACCATCACTTCTTAGACTATTAATCCAATGGCCAAGTAAATATCCTAGAGGCATGACTTTCTAAAAATATTACCCTTTCATCATCTGAAGTAAAGGCTCCTCATTCAGTTTACTATGTAGAAAATGTCCTGAGTCCTCCAGATAAATTCTTCAAAACAAATGCCCTGTGCTAAGATAAAATATTTTAATATCATATTGCTCAAATATAACACATTTAAATATGAATCAATTTTTTCATCTTTTCACTCCTACAGAAGGTGGTATCTATTATATATTCATCTGGATTCACAAAGCGCTTTAGAATAAAAAAATGACAAATATAAAAATTATAATTATTATGAAAGTGGTATAGGAATTAGACATATTTGCATATATTGTAGTGAATTATAAAGTTTCTGGGCTTGAGAATATCGAGTTCCAGAGTCACACCTGTTCTGGTTATTTAACTCAACTTAGAAAATGTACACTTCAGAAAGAAATATTGCTTCCTTTAGGAGATTAATACACTCTCCCTTCAGATGAAGAAAAATCTACAAATACATTTTAATGAACACTTGGCTTCCCTGTTTTCACTAGCTGTGGTAACAAATTTTTACTGAGCCATGGTCTCACGTCTTTATCTCCTTCCATTGTGTACACCTGCAGCATTATAAAACGTAGTTTCTATCTGGATAAGTTAATTGAGTGCTGTCTTCACTATCCATGACATCTCACCAATCATCTCATTATGATACTTTGTGTCATTCACCATAGAATCTTTGATTAATCAAAACAGTTGTTATAAGGCTGCTGGTTCTACTCCTGCATGGGATGGTGGCTGTGCCCACCTGCAACTAAGATTGTAACATAGCACATTGAGCTTAGAGGCCATGAGCTGCCAGCGGGCAGCCAGATGGCGACTGGCACCCTCCACAACTAAGATTGAAGAACAACAACTTGGCTGGTCCCCCTCCCCAATTCTCCAACACCATTCCCCTCTCCCAATTCCCCAACTTAAAAAAAAAAGTTGTTATAACTCAAACTGCTTATGATTGAAAACAGTAGAATATACTTGGATTGCGAGTAATGTGGTTTGCGAGTGTTCCGCAAGACGAGCAAATATTTCTAATACATTTTAACATGGCAAATGAGTGATGTCTTGCAATATGAGTAGTTTGTTTCCGGAATGAATTATGCTCACAAACCAAGGTATTACTGTACTGAATTGAGACTACAATGCTTTGATAAATATCCAATATTTATCAAACTTTAGACCATGTTGAGATGAAGTTCCACTTACAGATGGAACAAAGCTAAGTCAAGCTGGAGACTGCAATAGTGTAAATGTGTTCATTGAAGCCCATACATAAGTATTATCTGTGCATCAACAAATGGTTATAACAGTTATACCTAATCTAAATTAATCTGAAATTTTGACAATAAAACATGCATTTGTGACATTTTGAATTTTTGTAGAATGCATCATGTTTGTAACAGTACCAAAATAATCTAAAGCCAGAACACTTTTTCTGGGTATAATTATATTATTATAATTCTCTACCTTGACAGATGACAATTATAGAAAACTCTAAATACAATTTCTAGTATATGCACTAAAATAACATGTAACAGATAGACAACTCACCATAGTATAAGTAACACATTCAAATTTAGTAATTTATTTTCCAGGTGGAAACCAGGCTTCTTGGAAGATTTCAAACTATGCCAAATGGTCTGATTTTACCATAGAGGTAGGCACTGAAGGACTAAATTTACTTCTATGTATTCTTTGTTAACTACATTTTACATGCAGATGTCTATATAACCATGTTAATGAAGTTATAGAGAAGAAAAGAAAGTTGGCATTCCCATTGTTCTGTTTTATTCAAAAGCAACTTCTCAATTGACTTGCTACATCATTTTAAACCACTTTTCATTTAGTCACAAGAAAAAAGAAAAGCCTAACAATGCATTCAAATCAATCACAAGTCAAGAAAAGTAATACCTTACTTATGAATAAAATTTAGGCTTGACAACTTTTCTCTCATTCCTTAGAGTCTTCAGAACATAGGATACTTCTGCTTGAATCAGACAAAAAGTTTTGTTAATCATAAATATTTAGAAAAGTGGCTTCTACTGACCCAGAGTTGGTTATTTAGAGGAAGGGGTTTTTGTCCTTCTGATTAAGGGCTCACATTTTTCTGGACTCCAAATGGGACTGGATGATTAATTGACAGTTTTAAATCTTTTTTCCAAGAAATATAAACAAATGTATTTAAATTCCACATGGGTGAATTTCCTATTAAAAATTTGGTATTCGGGCTTCAAAAGCTATATTGACAATAAGAGTATATGGTATCCTTTCAACCAGAATGTTGATAACCCAAAACTTGTCTTTGATTATAAAAGTGTCCATAGGGTGTAAGAAACAGGATGTTTTGAAACTAAAGTCACACTTGATTTACAACAAAACTGAAAGTAATAAAGCCAGAAGCATAGGCGATAAAAGGAGAAAAAGGCAGAAATAGTGGTCAAAACTGCATTTATGGTTCATGTTACAACCAGAATTGATACAATCTTATCCCAAAACATCTAGAAAAATAAAGCAAAATAAAACCTCATTCACCCTTACACATTGAAGGGAATTAGGATCTTGACCCAAATTTCAAACTCCTGGAACTTGGAAATATCTGTAAAACTCCCAACATCAACGTTTCTGAAACCTACCACATCCCAAAGAGGTAGATCTTCAACCGTGGAAATATGACTATTGAGAATTCACAGACTTTCTGAAACAACTGCTAATCACTCCACTCCCATACTAGAGGGCGAAAGACTCAAAGCATTAGGCGGGGAAAGCCTGCTGTGAAAATGCCAGGCCCTTCTTGGGTCTAGGTTGTTAACCTACAATCCCAGCCACAACTATGGTGTGATTGTATCAGGGAACAGTGTACTTGTGTGTGAGAATTGGGGTCAGGTGGGGGCACCAGAATGTTGAGAAATTTAAGAAATTCATATGATTTTTTTTTTCTTTAAACATTTGAGAGTGTTGTATTTATACACGCTGGGCAACAGAAACCATAAACCTTGCTGGTTTTCTGCAAACTGCTGCATGAAGCATATAAGCAGCATTCCTGTCAATGGAAGAGATAGACAGAAATCAAGAGAGGGTTAGGCAGCACCCCCAGGATGCAAAGCTTGTTCCTACTGCGAGCCATAGTGGAAGGAGATGATGACATCCAGAACAAAATGTCTTCTCCACCAGGATGCTAAAGCTCTTGCTTCGTGACCTCTGTGTACAGAAAGAATGGAAAGAACTTAATCGCCCTCTTTTCTGGAACCAAAATATAAGGGCTTTTGAGTTATTTTTAAACTTCTTCCTGTAGAGTCCATTGTTGTGTTCCATGAAACAGACAAAACTCAGCAAGACAACAAAGACTTGATCTGCAGGCGAGAAGGAAATAAAGAGCAAGTCCTCTCCAGAGGGTAATTAATCCTAAATTATTCATCCTAGAAGTCCCAGTTACAGTTAAGGTTAATGTTCAGGTAGCTTCTTTCTATTTTCTTAAAAAAATTTTTTTTTAACATTTTTTCCCCAGAATGTTATACTATTAATTGCCAATTTGCATATGTGTGCAGCTGCTGTTTTGGCTCTGAACTCAATCCGATAAGCTTGCTGGAGGTATCGCAGAGCACTTGGCAGCTTTCCTATTTGAAAAGAAAGCCTCTCCCCACTACAGAACAGCTGATCGTCTATCAGCGATAGACCCTGATGGCGTGAATTACAATTACACTACTTTTCACACTAAATCTGGGTGATAGCTACTTGGAAAGAAGTTTCATCATTTTTTACCACAAACTGGAAAAAGAATTACATGGTCATGCTGTGCTTTTAAAGGCAGTTTGGTTCACTTTTGTCTATTTAACACCTAATTCCAAGAAGTCCATAGGCATCCAGGGATCTGAATGGCAAGTAATGAATTCACTGTTTAGATTGAAGATTTAAAAAATCTACCTCAAATTACATTTATTAACAAGGCGACCAGGAAGTGTTAAAGTTGTTAGACGCTTCATTTATTAAATAATTTGTGGGTATTTTCAGTTGTCATATCTAGAGTCATGGGGTTTGCTTATTTTTTTTTTTTAATTAGCAATCCAAAACAATGCTACTGCAATTTAACAATTCATCACATAATCTTGGGCTCTTCAGTTCAGCTGTGAATGTTAGATAATTCAGATTGTTATTTTGAACTGTTTATAAATGATTTGGGTTGCATTGTGCTGTGAGGAGAACTGCAGCAGCCGAGGCCGACCTTTTTCATCTGTCTTGCATTGCTCAGGAGCGTTGAGGGGCCTTCCAAAAATGCATTTTGGGAGGTTAGCGTCTAGCAGGAGGAAACAAGGGATTGGGGCAAGGGATACTAATAATTACCTGATTTATTATCATTACTTCGTTAACTTCCTCATTAATTTACATTTCCTGTCTGCTTGGAAAACTGAGAAAGGACCCCTTTGCCAAAGTGCATCTTATTAGAATCCCACAGCTCTCTCATTTTCTGGGACGTTAGAAACTACCTTCTTGCTTCTTGCAAGAACCCACCAATCACCAGAAAATTTAAGAGGCCCCCAAACAGCACTCTTCTTTCTCTCACTCTTCCTTCAGATCTCCTCCCCTCCCATCTTGACATTTAAATACAATTGATTAAAAAAAAAAAAAGGAACAAAAGTTAAACCCACCTCAAGCAGCGTAAGTGGGACACACTCATCCTGACGTAGTTAACCTAAGAGAAAAATAGATTTTGTTTTCCTTTTTTAGTCGCTAGCTTTATTAGATTTCTCACTCTCACAGATTATCCGAAGACTACCCATTGATTGATCGCCCGTAGAGCTGCATTTGGTGTAAAGAAAAAACTCACAGCTTTATTGGCTCCCAGGAGACAAAACAAACAGAACAAGATATTCATATTAATGCAAACAATGCAACAAATGAGGGGAAGAATCGTCCGGCTGACGCGAGTTGCAGCGCGGCGCGGCCGGGGGCCAGGAGAGGCCTGGGCGCCCCCCCGCCCCGGAACCGAGGTTTCCCGGCCTCCGCGACCCCGGGCGCCCGGAGGAGTCGGTGCCCCGCGCCGCTCGCCGGGCAGAGGGGCCCCGGACCCAGGCTCCAGCAGGGCAGCGGGCGGGACAGGCCGGCGAAGGCGCCCGTAGGCGGCCTCCAATCCAGGCCTCAGGGAAGGGCCTGCCTCAGGCCCTCGCCCATCCGCAGGGCAGGGCTGGAAGGGCCCTACGTTTAGCCCACCTTGCTTTCCCCTTTCCCTAACGTGCGCCTCCAGGGGCCCAGCTCCCGAGTCTCGGTTTCCCTGTACATCTATCTGGGCCCCATGTGGGAGTGATGAATTCCCGAGTGCCTCCTGACTCACCTGAAGCAGCCTGCAAGGAGAGGCAAGAAAGACGCCAGGGAACTCTGTGGAAGGGAGGATGCGGTGTGATACGCGTTCCCTCTCTTTGAAAAGCTCACATTATCATGGAGGAGACGATATAAGCACATTTAAACACAATACAAAATATTGTATAATCAAGAGCTAGGGGAGTAGGATGTACAGCGAATGCTGAGATATTTAAGAGGCCCTGAGACTTTCCCTGCGGAATGAGAAACGAAGAAAATTCCAGGCACAAAAAGGGATATTTGCTTTACACCTAATCACCGACCGCCTCTACACTCTTCGCCCCGCAAAACCCACAAAAAGCAAAAAGCTAGGGGGAAAATCAGTTAAGTAAGACTTACTTTCACATCTTGATAGTCAATGATATATCAAAAGTAGGGCTGCCAAATATTGCACAGAGCATACTTAGAGTAAAAAATTATTTGTTGTTTATTTGAAATTGAAATTTAATTGGGCATCCTGTATTTTTATTTGCTAAATCTGGCTATCATAACTAAAAAAATACTTTATTGAAGAAACCATAGAAGAATGAAGGCCCATTCTCTGATGTATATCAGGCAACTCAGGACATTTTTATTGGGACTTTGCCTTTGACAGGAAATGGGTCACCCCCACAGCATACTTTTCCAAGCACATTGTAGGGTGGAGGAGGAAGGAATGACTGAAACTCTGGGAAATGTCCTTTATATTTTGGAGGAAGTGGCAATGTCATTGTTGACTGGAAAACGGACTAGCATGCCTTCCCTGGGGTTGGCTCCTTTCCAGGCCAGTAGATGGTACCTTAACGAGTCTGTACGCAGAGTGGCACTTACTATGGTACTCCCATGTCAGGATTATGTATTTTTTCTGAACTCTTACTATAGAGCCACATTATTCATTGGTATTTATTTCATTTTGAAAGAAACAAAGTTGGGACTTGAAAACTTTCAAGGTGGAAAGGTAAAGCAAAGTCTGCTTTGAAGTTCATCAAGTGCTCTAACCCCCAAATAGATCTCATCCAGGCCTTGTATTGATAGATGCTGAAAGAGAAGACTTTCTCAATTGC